ACATTCTTTTTTTTTTTTTTTGGTCTTTATTTGGAATCATATGAACCTTAAGGGCACATTTTCAAAAACCAGTCAAGTAGCAGGCAAGACACTGGAATAAAAAAGACAAAAACAAGCCCCCCAAAACCTCAGTGATAATTAGCAATGCTGCCTTAGGAGCACATTTTCTAAAACTAAAAATATTCCTCCAAAGCGTCCCATTTTCCCTGCTCTTTTTTTTTTTTTTTCCCCACCCTAGGAAGTCTGGCTGACTCATCAACTCATTTCAGAGCGGTTTTCACTGGTGGTGCCAAGGTTGCGTTCACCATCTGAGTACAGTAGGAAGCACAATGGCTGCATTTCTTTCATTGAAACATCTATTGTGTGAGTGTCTCTCTTCCCCTTTCACTGGGTGATGTCCAGAAAGAGTGTGCTGGAATGTGCAAAGGGTAGGCGACAGCATGAAGCTGATTTTGCTTTTTCATTTTTGACACAATCACACAAAATAAGAAAGGGCTTGCTCTGCAGAAGAATTGTCTTTTGTCTCTGTCTCTAGGGCTTTGTCAAGGCTCATCTTTTCTCTCTTCCAACCTGGCACGGGTCCCCTGGAGCCACCTGAGAGAGTGACAGGCTCAGTGCAGGCGGCCCCTTTAAAACCTCGCCGATTAGCATTAGGCAGTGCCGACCTTTAGCAGCATGCCTCACCTTGTGCCCCACTCTGGACATTCTTATGTTGTTATGTGGCTTGGCCCCCGAAGTCCTGCTAGCTGACGGATTTGTTTTATTAAAGGCAGGGTGGGAGTGGCCGAAGGGCAGCAAGACGGTTTGCTCCTCTTTCTCTGCAGACCTCTTCAACAGCTTCATCGCCAAAGCCGAGGCCAGAACCATCCCTGGAAAGATTGATCTTTTGAGTGGTGAACGTGTTCTTTCTTCTTTTTGTTTTCTACTAGAAATCTGACTATGAATTTTGACTTGATACTAAATTGTTTTTGTCATGCTGAAAGAAGATTTCAGGTGCTGTTTGGATTTTTTTTTTTTTTTTTTTTCCTGGTGAGACCTTCCCTGCTGCCTCAAATCGCATTTACTGTCTGCCTCATTAATGAGGTGGCAATTGTGAAGGTCGGTGAATTTTATTGTAAAAAGAAATGACTGCCTGCAGAGTTCACATTCTAGATGGCTGACTTTACAAACTTTAGCTAATTACCTCTTGTGTAAACGTTTCCTATTTATGAGGTTTGCTCCCAGATGAGGATCTTAGATAACCAATCTATATGAGACAAGCGTGACCATCTGCTTTGACCTGGGTGTGATCAGTCACATTTCAAACACAATGGAGTGTGTGTGAATTGCAGCCACAGAAGGGTCCTTGTTAGGCCCAGGCTGCTGTAGTCCATGACAGAGATGCCCTAAGGGGTGTGTGTTACAGGTTCACTGAGGCTTGGGCGCACTGCCCCCCCCCCTCCATTTCCCCATCTCCCTACCCACGCGCTGTGTAGCATATGAGGGGATCTGGTGCTTTGGCTTTCAGCCGAGTGCTTAGGAGGGGCTGATTTGGCCCATCTGGCTAGTTGGGCATCTCCTTTCTTCCTCCTCATTCTGAGTTTGGCAAAAAAGTGTCAAGTTGGCTGCAAATATTTTGAACTCCTACGAAGACCATATGGTCTTTTGGATTCAGTTTTCAACATTTTTATCAGTCAGTACTTATTGAGCTCTTGCAGTCCTATTACTCAATGCCATCGCAGTAGCTACCCTGAGCGTCACAGAGGAGGGTGTCCCCGGACCATGAACACACCTTTGACATCCCCATCTCTCTCTCTTCTCTGGCTCTTACCTCTTTCTGGAATACCTTGATGTCTAGCCCATTTTTCAAGATCAACTCAGATGTCACCACTTGATAAAGCCTCTGTCACTTGGATAATTTTCCTCTTTCTTTGAACCTGTATTATGTCCCTCTGATCTTTGCTGCTCACTTATTCCTTCATTCATTCCTTCATTCATTCTTTCAAAAAAAAGATCTATTGATGCCTAGTGTGTACCAGATTTCAGATATATCAGTGAACTAAACCACGGAGATATCTCCCTGCCCTTACGGCACTTATCTTGGAGCTGGGGGAGATGACATAATGAACAGCATATGCAGTACATGAGTCAATTGTACAGTATTTTGGAGAGGGATAAATGGAATGGAATGTGAAAAAAAAAGCAGGATCAGATTGATCAGATGTACAAGGTGGGAGGAAGGGGAAGATGCAGTCTACATTAGGTGACATAGGCGTTACAGCTTCAGTGACAGCTACTGAGGTTGGGCTGGTGGCCGTGGTAATTTGCATGTGTACCTTCTCCTTCTTTCCCAACTGAGAGGACAGGAATTGGGCATCCTTACTGACTTATCTGCCAGTAGCACTTAGCACAAAATGCCTTGTGTGTGGTTTGTGCTCTGTAAATGGTGATATGGAAATGAATGTGTAAAAACGAATTTGAAGACAAATAAGGAAACCCATTCTATTTTTTTTTTAAGATTTTATTTATTTGAGAGAGAGAGAGAGAGAGAGTGCGTGTGAGGGGCCGGGGAAGGGCCAGAAGGGGAGGGAGAAGGAGGGGGATAGAACCTCAAGCAGACTCCCTGCTGAGCATGGAGCCCAACGTGGGGCTCAGTCTCCAGACCCTGAGATCACAAACTGACCCGAAAGCAAGAGTCGGACGCTGAACTGGTGGAGCCACCCAGGCGCCCCAAATAAACCCATTCTTATTTTTACTTTATTCCCTCCCTTAAAAAAACCTTTACGATAAATCTGTACTTAAGAACCTTAAGGGGCGCCTGGGTGGATCCGTCGGTTAAACGTCTGACTTTGGCTCAGGCATGATCTCAGGGTCCTGGGATTGAGCCCCTTGTCAGGCTCCCCACTCAGCGGGGAGCCTGCTTCTCCCTCTCCTATTGCCCCTCCCCCTGCTTGTGCGCGCGCTCTCTCAAACAAATAAATAAAATCTTAAAAAAAAATCTTAAATTCCTTCCATATTTCCTCATTATTTTCAAGACAGAATTTGTCACTGGAGCTCAGTGTGCACAGGGGTTTTGGAAAATGTTAGTCAAATGCCTGAACTGCTTTTTACATGAAAAAACACAATTATAAGATATAAATTTCAATTACAAATTAGAAGAGCACAGAGGACCATAGTTTGCTGCTTTGGCTAGGTTTTTGCTCTAACAGAATCGTTTTTCAAAGTAAACAACTTTTGGGAACTGAATAGGGGAGAACATTTCAAGAGTGTATTTTATTATCAGTTTGCCATGAAAAACTCAAGAGTCTCTTGAGAGCCTCTGGATTGAATTAGCTGTAAGTTTACCAATATTTATCAAGTGAAACAACATTATCCCAGTGCAGAGTGACACCCCACAGGGATTATGAGGATACGTGTCTCACCTCATCAATGAGTGTGCATGCCACACTCGTTTCAGCTCTTACCTGAGGTTTAGAGATTATGGAAAATCAATGCAAAATAACTTTCTGGGCTGCATTCAGTCGATATAACTGGGTCTTGAAGCAGAAAAAGATCCAAGGCCCCAGTTGAGCCAAGGCTTTTCAGTGCCCAATTTAAAATGTAAACGGTTGCTGCCGCTGATAAAATTCTCCCCCGAGAGCCAAAGAGCTCTGTGTAATTTAGAGCCCTGAATTCCATGCTGCATCCACCACACGGAGGATGTCCTAGACTGATAGAGTGCCAGAGTCAGGAGGCCCCTTACGGATAACCTAGCTTAGTGGTTTTCCAGTTTCTCCAAGGGAGCTCTCCCATGGACCCAATGTGGGGAGGCAGAGGGATGAACCAGCAGGCCAGGCTCTGAGTGAGCTCGTCCCATGCCCCATCTTCCATTTGCCTCAACACACTTTGACCACTTTTATTGTCTTCACGCTTCTATGTAAGAAGTCGTGTGAAGGCAGGCTTCTGAGGCGAAAGATCGTTTGATCTAGAGTAGCTCACTTGTTTTCCAGGTAAAGACACGGCAGCCTGGAGAAGGTTGGATATACAACACCAAGGGGTATGTCTTGCAGGCCTGACCACAGTTAGAGACATGCCCTTTCAGGACAGTCTCCTTGTGTGTCCACCGCACAGGCTTAGTGTGTGAATCAAATGAGACAGACAGGGAAGCACAGTGTATAGGAGAGCATTTAATGCATTCGTTAAATGTTAAATATTATCATCATGTTCCCTTTTCTACCACTAGAGCAATTGTGGAGGTTGTCAAACTGGGTTCCAGGGAGCCCTTGGGATCATTGCCAGGGGCATAAGAACCCCCGTTCTTCAGGCAACACATTTTCCCTTCAATCCACTTTCTATGTTAGGCCTCCAGGTAAAGTTCCTTCTATAGTAGGGCTCTATAACTTTATTTATTTATTTTTTTTTTAAAGATTTTGTTTATTTATTTGACAGAGAGAGAGATAGCGAGAGCAGGAACACAAGCAGAGGGAGTGGGAGAGGGAGAAGCAGGCTTCCCGCCGAGCAGGGAGCCCGATGTGGGCCTCGATCCCAGGACCCTGGGATCATGACCTGAGCCGAAGGCAGACGCTTAACGACTGAGCCACCCAGGCACCCAGGGCTCTATAACTTTAAAGAAGTTTGGAAACCACTGATCCAGAAGGATTTTTTTGCCTATGAGAATAAATAGCTATGTATGTGTGAAACTCCGGTGCCCTCTGTGCCTACTGAATTGACCAGACAGAATATTTGGGGCAGAGGTTGGCTGAACACCTGCTTGAGGAAGATGACTGCTGGATCCGTGAGCACTGTGGGTAAACTGGGCTTGAGCCAGAGACCGACACCTGATTGGCAAAACCGCAGCTCGCCGCAGACACCTCTGAGCTGTGTTGAGACTTGGGGTGTTTTTTAAGTCTGGTGTTCCTGAGGCCTTTCATTTTTGGGGGCTCTGTTTGTAGCTCATGTGGTGGGTCAGTGTAAGTACCAGGGTGGAAACTAAGTGGATCCTGGCAGGTGATGGTCTTTTCTTTCCCGTCTTCGTTTTTCAGTGCACTTACATTTCAATCGACCAAGTCCCCAGGACCCATGCCATTGTGATAAGCAGACCTGCCTGGCTTTGGGGGGCAGAAATGGGGGCCAACGAGCACGGAGTGTGCATAGCCAATGAAGCCATCGATGCCAGAGAACCTGCCGCGGAGACGGAAGCCTTACTGGGGATGGATCTGGTCAGGTACACGGTGATTCTTTGGAACGACTGCTCACAACAGGCGGGGAATGGGGACAGGATTTATGTTCCTCCAGACCTCATATTTTGTAACACAAGCCTCCCAAAGAAGACGTGTGCCTTTTGATAGAAGTTCAAGGTGATAGGACAAAAAGAGAGTAGATTACAATGGAATATTATTAAAGCAATGAAAACGAGCGCTACATGCTTGAGTTTTGAAGACATTATACTAAGTGAAAGAAGCCAGACGCAAAAGGTTGCATATTGTATGATTGTATTTACATGAAATGTCCAGAAGAGGCAAGGTCATAGTAGTAGAAAGTCGATTAGTGGTTGCCTGGGGTTGGGGATGGGAAAATGGAGAGTGATTCCTAATGGACATGGGGCTTCTTTGTGGGGTGTTGAAGATGTCCCAAATTTAGATTGCGGTGATAGCTGTGCAACTTTGCAAATATACTAAAAATCACTGAACTGTATGTTTTAAGTGGGTGAAGTTTATGGTTTGAAATACATCTGAAGTATAGGAAAGAAGAAAGGAATCATATAAAATACATAAGATATAAAGGAAAAAAGAAGAGACAGATGTCCCTCCTGTCCCCTCTTCATTTCCGTCGTCTGTTTCCCTTTCCCTGCTCTGTGTTACAGCGGGGAGCAGACGTGTGCACTTGGTGGGATGGGGATCTTTGCTCGTTTTCTGTTGCGTCACAAGCACCAAGAGTTGTGTGCCTGGCCTGTGCTGGCTGATCAATGACTGGGTTTGGACTGAATGACCAAAGGAGAGGGTGGGCTGGAATAAAATGACACTCTGAAATGACTTTCTTTTTTCTGGGATCGTGAAATGCAATAGAATCATGACTAAGTTGGAAAAATATTGGGCTGGGAGCCAGGGGCCTTGGTTTTCAGTGTGAATACACCCAGTTATAACACATCTCTGGCCCACAGTCTCTACATTTGTTTGAAGGGAGGCCTTAGATTGGATGACCTCTAAAGAACCTCCCAAAGCCAACATTCAATGCAGAGGAGTAGAGGTTTTGACCCTTTGTAGGCTGTGTAGGGAGGAAGTGCACATTTACGCTGAGACCTCTGTGGTCTGTAGCTTCCACCAACCGATGGACAGGTCTGTTAACCTTTCAGGAAAGGGCCCAGTGAGCTTGACATACGTGTGTGAGAGTCATGGGCTGCAAATAGGGATTCTCCCAAGGATTTACCATGAAACAAGAATTTGAATTTGGGAGCAGCTAAATCCAAGACCCAGAAAAACCTGGACCAAGCACACACTTTTGAAGGATCTGAATTGTACCGAAGGTAGATCTCAGAGCGAGACTCTAACCTTGGCCCAGTAAATTTCATCCCTTTGCCTGCCCTGGTCATGCCCATAGTGAGGTGAAGCAGCCAGTGTGGAAGTAGGCATGGGGGCCAGAAAGATGCTGTTCTGGTTTTGAATCGCATGAATCTGCCCCATCTAAGAGGCCAGACCACTGTGAAAGGCTTTGGAACAGACGTCTTGACATCGGGTGACTTATGACCCTAGACTGCTGTAGCCCTAGCACCTCTGCCCCCCGTCGGGGCCGGACAGCATGGAACCCCGCTGCTGTTCTCAGTCTGTGGAGCAGGCTGTCCTGTCCTCGCCCCATGGCACCGAGGCGAGGTGGGAGGGGCCGGGTGGACAAAGGCGTATTGTTTCCTGTGGTCCCAGCCCGGGGGTAGGAGAGTGAGATCAGAGTCGTGTCTGTGGATGAGTGTCGAGGTCCTGCTGCAGATGCTGTGCGTGGAGGGCACAGAAGTCAGCGTGGGAGGGCAAGTGCATGTACTGGGCGTCTCAGGGTGGAACGCGGCAGGCGGAACAGCGGGACAGTGAGCTAGACACTGCACAAAAGAAGTCACAGCTTCCAAAGGCGGGGTGCCCCTGGCTAGGTAGCACATGCTCCTAGCACATGTTTGCATGGCCAAATCGGAGCCCTACGGAAGCCCTGGGGACAGGCTTCTGCTTGGAATGCATGCATGGGGCAATGTGACCAGAGGCTCCCAGGGACCTGTGGAGGGAGGAAGGGGGCACAGCTTGGGCAGACCTGTAGAGGTGCTCATAGCACACTTCTTTGCTCTGGATCTTCAAGATCGGATGAGTGCTTGCTTCTGCTATTCCTCTTTGGAGAAGACGACACTGACCAACAGAAAAGTCTACTTAATCCGATCTTCTAACGAGTTTATTTTTTATCACTCTCCTAAGGTCTTAGGGTTCAGCTTTCCAAATCAGTGGGTTTGTCACCAAGTCTTCCTAAATAAACTAAAATTGAGAAATGCCCAATGAATTGATACATAATGATCTGACTATGAAAATAAGCCTGTTACAAGAATACGTCTGTAGCATAATCTTTTCCTCTCCCTGGCAGCACGGGGAAAGTCTCTTCAAAAAGAATCAAGCCGGGTGAATTTTAGTAACGATTGGTCTGTTGTCAATTCCCCGAGAGCTGGCTGACAACGACCATCTTAGCAGGCACCGCTGCCTCTGCTCCGAAGTTCTTGTGCTCCTGGCCCCAGAATTATAATGTGGAGGAAGAGACGGATACATGGACGTGTGCTAAGCCCGTATCATGTGCCATCCTCCTTCGAATCAGCCTGAGAGGGACGTACTGCCTTTTTGACTTGACAAATGAAAAAAATCAGGTTTCAGAAAGGTTAGGTTACCGATGGTCATGCTGCCAGTGGGTGGCACAGCCAGAATTGGAAGCTGGCTCCCTCTCTCTCTCTCTGAGTCACTGTTTTTCTGCCAGACGGGGCTGCCTCTTGAACGTACCCACCACCTCCGTGGGCCTGGGCAGTTGTGCTTATATTTTCACATTCATTATCTCATAAACCTGTCCTCAGAGCAACCTGATGATGTAGGTACTTACAGGTGACATAAATTTGAGTTCAAATATAGTACACAACTCGCCCAGGGTCGAGCAGAGGGCAGTATCTGTGCCCTCTTTAGGGGGCCAACTAATTGGAAGGCTGGGAGGAGACTGCTGTGTCACTTCAGAAGAAGGATGTACTTTTTGACAAGTGAAGCTGTAAGCCACAGCAGTAGAGGGAGGCTGATAGGTCGGAGGAGAGACATGTTGAAACGCACGGATGTCCCAACCAGGCACCCATTCCTAGTGAGATCTCTGAGTAAATTACATGCACCGAGGACAGTGGCTGGCTATGGAACACTTTTATTACCAACCCACATACCTGGCGTATGAGATTTCCTTTTGCCCGGAGGCAGGAGGGAGGATAAGCCCCAGAAAGGGGGTCTTGATAAGGCTGGAGCTGAGCTGGCCAGTACCAAGGGAGCCAGAGTTAGAAAAGGAACAGAGAGGGCGGGTGAGCTGCCCTTCACGAGGGAGAAGCCGCTGGGTTCCTGTCTCTTCCGTCTGTGTGGGAGGGGGGTGCCCAAAGACAGAAAACACCCCCATGATTTTGAGCCGAACGTGGGAGAGATGTATTCTGCGTTCAAGTGGCGTGATCTGCGTCTCGGCCCGCGGACCGAACGTGTTGACGCGTGTTGGCGCGCTTCGTCCCTCGGCTTCGTCCCAGACTTTGGTTGGCGTGGCAAAAACCACATGGTAGGAAGGGACTGAGGTATACCTCCGGTTTTCTTGCTCCAGGCTTGGCTTAGAAAGAGGAACGACAGCTAAAGAAGCCTTAGATGTCATCGTCGCCTTGTTGCAAGAACACGGGCAAGGTGGGAATTACTATGAAGACGCAGACTCCTGCCACAGCTTCCAAAGCGCGTATCTGATCGTGGATCGTGAGGAGGCCTGGGTGCTAGAGACCGTGGGGAAGTACTGGGCTGCCGAGCAGATCACAGGTGAGCCCGCGTGGGTGGGGCGGCCGAGGCGGGTGCTGCCCGGACGCGTAGGAATCCCGCCGCTGACGCACACCCTCTCTGTGCCCGACCTTGTCTTCTGGGCTCTGCTTCTAGGGAGAAACCTGGGGCGCGGGGATGTCAGCACTTGGGAAACACACACTTGACATTTCTTATTTTGTCTTTGCTTTCTGGGCAGGACCCAATTTTGAGTACCAGCAGTTTCGTGACCCAAATGGCTACTCTGACTTGGCCAAAGGAATGGTGATTTTTCCCGTTCCATTCAGTCAACGAACCACTACGACAGGGAGCTGCCCCTCGTCACCCCCAGCCCCGTAGCTCCTTGTTCTTGGAATGTTCCTCCGAAAGAGGAATTTGGATCCGTGTGGGGACCATTGACTGCCTCTGGGCCGACAAGCTCATTTCTCTGTGAGACAGTGTTTCTAGAAAAGCAGAGGACTAGGGAATGCACTCGGAAGGGTGGAGTGCCCATTCAGTGGTTGCTCCGTGCTCCCTGCAGCATTTGTTCTGAGACGGTTCTGAGGGAGGACATGTTAGAGGGGGCTGTGGTTGTCCTGCCTCATCGCTTAGCACCCTCATATCGGGGAGCGGCTGGCGTCCCAGAATGGGCTAGAGGGTTTCCGAGAGGACTAAGGCGTTCTAGGAGCGCATTGGCCAGTGAAGCCCCACTGACATTCCTTAGGACTGAATGACAAGTACATGGACCGGGCGCTGCCGTTTCTCCCCGCCTGTGTTCGTGGCAGACACAGCTGGCAGTTCATAACACTCTCCCGTATGGGACCTATACTTGGCCTCTGTATTTTGCTCGACTGAATTTGCAAGGAAGTCTCTTCCAGTTGCTCAGAATCGATGCTAGGGATGAAACCTGTTTTCCATCTCTGCCTTAGGGGGGATTGGAACCAAGTCGCACCTGAGGTAGAAGCAGAAGAGCTACTGCAGTAGTTGAGAATCAAGCCCGTTGTTTTCTGTGGCCTAAGGCAGCGCGGTGATCAGGGTTGTGGCGGACGACGGGTATGTTGGGTCCCGAATGAGGCTGGCTTGCGGTGCTTGCCTGGAGGAGGGCAGCTTCTCCGCATTCTCACAAGGGCGCCCTTGCAACGATCGTGGAGAGTTTCTGCGCCGCCGCGTGCCCAGCGTCCACCCATGTGTGCCCTCAGGACTGCTGGGGCCCGGGTGGGCCACCGGGTCACCAAGCCTCCTGCCGCGCAAGAGCTTCAAACTCCTTTCCCAAAAACGTCCTCCTAGGACGAAGCCTTACTATCAAATGGTTCCATCAAGAGGGCTAGTGGTCCATGCTGATAAGGCCGTCATAGGTTGCTTTTCAGTAGAACTTAAAACTTTATGATCTATACCTGCCTTTCAAAAGCTTAGTTTCCCTTCAAGATATAGCTTTAAAAAATCCATCTCCTCAAAATGCGTGTTGTCTTTCACCAACTATTGACATAAAACCCCAGCCATTCCTCGGCCTCATTGATTTCATGTCTTCGTCCCCCGCAGCAGTGTGATAGCAGTAGGATTTCGTGAGTCTGGCCCCTGAATGCTCACATGCCCGAAAGCAAACGTCTACTATAAATCAGCCCTTGAGGAAAATATTGTCTGTGGAGTTGTTCACAAGACTTTTTTGATAGCTTCGTGTGAAGAATGCCAAAATCACTTATTTAGGCCAAAGCTACTTTTTATTTTTAATTTTTTTTTTTAAGATTTTATTTATTTGCGAGAGAGAGAATGAGAGACAGCATGAGAGGGGGGAAGGCCAGAGGGAGTAGCAGACTCCCCGCCGAGCAGGGAGCCCCATGTGGGACTCGATCCCGGGACTCCAGGATCATGACCCGAGCCGAAGGCAGTCGCTTAACCAACTGAGCCACCCAGGTGCCCTATTTTTAATTTTTTAAAGTAGTTTTCTTCTTGTGTTGTCCTCTGAGAAGATGAATGGCAGAGGGCCAATGCCCATCCACTAGGAATACTTGTTTTGGAAGAATACGTCAGTGAAGTAGAACATACTGGAAGAACTCAGTCCAGTACTGGCCTTGTCTCTAGGAACTGGTTTTCAGGCAGTAATGGCTTTATTGCAGCTTGTGGTTTGAGCTCTCTACTTCATTCTCCAAGAATTTAGAAGATCAGCATGCTCCCTGGAAGCAGCAAATATGGAGGGCCTTTTTGAACTACAACTCATAACTTCTTAGTGTTCTAGACAGCATCTGGGAGCTTGAAGGCCAAGTCGTCCTCAGGGTATTTGTGGCTGAGGCTTGGGAGGAGCCAGAGCGAGAAGTTCTGGCCTCACCCTCCTCCATCAAGCCCAGTGTGCTCTGAGTGCAGGTGTTTCTGATTCTAGACTTCTTTAGTCATACTTATATTTTTATGAGAAAAATATTCCCGTAGAGTTTCCATGCTCATATACATGGATACACATGTACACCCACCCACCC